TTTATCTTTCCAGTGCTATAAAACATCCCTTTACAGCTCGGAAGAGTTGACATATATCAAGGATTCTTCCACCTGTTTGATAACCGTACCCCACTTTGCTTTTCCCTTGCTCTGGGGGACACTCACTGTGATCTACTTATCCTAAAACTGGGACTCCTATGCTGAATACGTTTCATGAAGAAGAGCCATCACCACTTTACAGGGTCTGTTCTCAAGAAATGTTATAAAATGTGTAGTTAGATAATAAAATTAATCAAAAACCCTCACCATGTTTCTTCATCTCATGAAATACTGTTTTGTTGTACTTGATGTATCTGTCCAATCCTGGCCTCCCACATTCCTAATCAATTCTTTCCTGAGTATGATTAGAGAGAATATCATATATATACACCAATAATTCTGCCAGCACCTCCTGCCCTCATCTTTGAGGCTCCTTATAGATGAATATTTGATGGTTTTAAAGTGAAAACAGACACCCCTCTTCCCCGCTAAAGGCATTTCTATAAGTATTTCCCTGGTAGTTTTAGCATTTTCAGCTCTCTAATGCAGTGACAGCAAAAAATTAAAATCCCATCTATAGCTGGGCAACCCAACAATAATTCCGGAGCACTGGATAGATAAGTTGTGATGATAGAGACACACAGTTGTCACTCAGTCATCCTACTCTTCCTGCCAATTCAGTTCTTATAAACATGCAAGGATACTAAAATTTACAATATGCCTACTCTCTGAGCTCATATTCCTGTCTGTCTGAATATACTGCCTGCTTACAGGACTGTTACTGGCAGGAAGAGCAGAAAGGTAAAGATGTGCACACAGATGTCTTTAATTACTACAAACCTACTGAATCAAACAGCGTCACTTTTTCTGCCTTCTGAGGTGTTATTTGAGATTCCCCCACTTCCTACACCTCCTTTTTAGTTCCCTCCACCATCCCCCAAATCCCAATGGTGTAGCCACCTCTTTCTGACCAAGAAGGGTGAATGTGTCTCCTTTTTGTGTCCACGATTGCTGCTCCAGCTAGTGGCCACGGGATTTCTCAACAGAGACAAAAGGTTCTCTTACCGTCCATAGGCTGAGCAGGTTGCCTCTGGATTGCTTTCTAATTCTGTCAACCTCACAAACCAGGGGCCAAGCTTTTGATTCAAACTGTGATGACTGCAGCAGTTCAGTGTACTACCATCGGATTATTAAATGAGTTAGTCCAGGGGTCGGCAACCTAAGGCATGCGTGCCAAACACGGCACGCAAGCCGATTTTGAGTGGCACGCTGCTGCCTTCCGTGGTCCTGGCCCTGAGCCCCACCGCTCTCCCCTGCGGGGACAGGAGGCAGAAGCTTGGTCCTGCGGCAGCCAAGCTTCCCCCTCCCCCCCGCTTCTTCCCCCAGCGTGGTGCTTCCCTCCCCCTCCTCCTCTCCTTCCCTGTGTTGATCAGCTGATGGCCCTTGCGAAGGGGAAGGGGAGAAGTGGCAGCGTGCTCGCTACTCTGTAGAGGAGGCAGAGAAGAGGTAGGGACGGGGTCTTGGGGAAGGGGGTGGAACAGGGCATATCCATTCCAGCCCCCTCCCATGAGCCGCTCAGGGCAGGGGGCTGGAAGCACTCCCATGAGCCAAGCACCCCAGCCCTCTGCCCTGACTCCTGAACCCCCCCACACACCCAGCCTTCTGTCCTACACCCCCCAGACACCCCGGCCCTCTGCCCTGACCCCTGAACTCCCCCCCCACAGCCCTCTGTCCTGACCCCTGAACCACCACCAGCCTTCTGCCCTGAACCCTCCCACACACCCAGCCTTCTGCCCTGCACCCCCAGCCCTCTGCCCTGACCTCTGAACCCCCCCCACACCCAGCCTTCTGCCCTACACCCACCACACACTCCCAGCCCTCTGCGCTGACCCCTGAACCCCCCCATCCAGCCTTCTGCCCTATACCACCCACACCCCCAGCCCTCTGCCCTGACCCCTGAATCCCCACACACACCCAGCCTTCTGCCCTATACCACCCACACACCTTGGCCCTCTGCCCTGACCCCTGAACCCCTGCACACTCCCAGCCCTCTGCCCTGACCCCTGAACTGCCCCCCCCCAGGTCTGGGGTCCCGGCTGCCAGCCCCTTGCCAGCCGGTGTCCCAGGCCCCGCTCAGCCCACTGCCGGCCTAGGTGAACAGAATCTGAGGCTGGCAGCAGGCTGGTGGCGTAAGATCAGCATTTTAATTTAATTTTAAATGAAGCTTCTTAAACATTTTGAAAACCTTG